ACCTTTAAGCACTTTAAATTTTGACCAACACTTGTTGAACTGTTAAGTTGCTTAGCTTGGACTTTAACTTGCAGTCTTCCTGCATCAGCCTCCCAGAGTGCTGTAATTATAGGCATGTGCCATCGTGCCAGGCTTTGAGCACTATTTGTATTCCATTGAAGGGAGTATGGACTGTCCCACCGTGTAGGTGAATCTGGCATTGAACATCAGTGTTTAAATGTGAATCATTTGCCCAGCAATTGTTCTTCCAGCCACTCACTTAAAAGACCGGCTGTGAGGTCATTTACAGAAGGTTGCCCAAGAGAGAGACTAGAAACAAGCTAATGTTCACCAGCAGGAGCTGGTTAGGTAAATGACTGCACAGCTATCTGTATAGTCTAGGCCAGGAACTAAACATGAAGGTACAGAACTTCATATGAAAATGTGGAGAGGTGCTGTTGATACAGTTCCAAGTATAAAAAAACGGCTTATTGTGATTCCATTTCTGTACAGCGAAGTCTGCTTTTGTGCATTAAAACAAAAGCCATCTGGTGAATCACGAAAGAATAGATACCACATGATTCTGCTTACATGAGGTTCTTCAGGTAGGCAAATTTATGGAGACAGACAGTAGAATGGTGGTTGCCAAGGAAAAGGGGTAGGGGAACGAGAAGTTACTATTTACTTATCTTGTTATATATTCCAGGTTGGCCTTGAACTCACTCATGTAGCCCAGGCAGCCCTCAAACTTGCCGTGATCCTTCTGCCCCAGGCCCTGAGTACTGGGACTACAGTTGTGTACCACCACATCCAGCAGAAGTTATTGCTTAATAGAAGTAAGAAAGATGAAAGATGTTTTATATTATATGATAGTATACATTCAAGGTGTTTTGGGGTGCACAAGTATCTGCTCAAGACCCTATTTTCAGTTCTTTTGAGTATATACACAGGAATAGTTTCTGGGTCATAGGGTAATTCCATTTTTACTATTTTAGGGATCTACCATACTATTTTCCATAGCAGCAGTGCCATGCTACATTCTTTTTTTTTTTGGTGCCAGGGATCAAACTCATGACTGTGTGCTTGGAAGGCAGGCACTTATGCTGCTGAGCTAAATCCCTGGCAACCATGTTACATTCTTGCCAGCAGTTTTAAAGAGTTCCAGTTTTTCTGTATCATTGAAAACAATTGTAATTATTGGTATTTTCACTCATAGTAGGTACAATGTAGTATCTCATGGTGGCTTTCCTGGTTTTAATTCAAATAAATTGTGGTTCCTTTTTCTCTAAAGTTGTTTTTCCTGTTACATCCCTTTCCTATCTGCAAACCATCTTACTTCAAAGTCACACAACATTAACCCCATCCAGAAGCACTGCATCACAGGTTTTCATGGTAATTTCTGCCTAAATGACTGGAATTTAAATGTGTCATTGGAGGGGGACAGGAATGAAGTATAATGGTAGAATGCACAGCATGTACAAGGCTCTGGGTTCGATCCCTAACACTGCAAAAAAAATATCCCTGGAGAACATGGATTTTAATGTATATGAGAACAAAATAGCCATTTTTTGGTCTTTCTTGAGACAAGATCATGCTATGCAGTTTAGGCTGGTCTTGAATTCACCTTGTAGCCCAGGCTGGTCTTATACTCTCAATGATCCTCCTGCCTCAGCCTGCCGAGTACTGGGATTACAGGCATGCATCACCATACCTGGCCTAAAATAAGCATTTAGAAGACACTGTTTTCATAAGAATGGGTCTTACGAAGCATCCAAGAATCATTTCTGTCCCAAGAGAAATGGCCTGGTACCTGTGGACAGACCTTCCTCTCTCAGCACTGACTTGAGTGAGCAGCTGGTTCTGAGTACTGAAATTCTCTCCACGGGACTCTGGAGACCTTGGGGATGGGCATCAGTCTGTCCTCAAGCTGGGGGCACTGCTCACAAGGCTGAGGACTTTGCTCAGAATTCTCAGTGAATGACTCCAGCCTCTTGTTTGTATTTCTGGTGAAAAGAGAAAGAATGAAAATTATCTCTGGGAATAGTGAAAACATTTGGAAGCCAGGACAAGTTGGTGGGGAGCGGGGCTTGGACAAGGCAGCAGGCAATGCTAGTTTCACAGGATCACAAAACTTGGGCTAAAAGCTTTGAAGCCTGTTATGGAGAATTTTCTGCAAGTTGCATGATTTAATGTACACAGTAAAAAGATAAGAGATGGATTGGGAGGCTGAGGTCACACTGGAGGCTTCAGTAGAGGTCCAGGAGAGAGGAGGTGATGGCTGGGATTGGGAACATGACCCAGGGATGGGGGGAGGAGAGCAGATATTATTAATGAGATCATGGACACTAGCAAATCCTATTGATAGGTGGAATGCAGGAAGATCAGGGTAAAAGTTATTGAGCCGGTGAATGATGTGACCATCAACTGAGTTGGACACAACAGAGCAGGTGCTGACAATGGAACCAAGAGGTGCTGGTCTGTAGCTCTGTTTAGACAGTGGAGGGTTTTGCCTTTCTGCAAGGCACCTGTGTTGAACCTGAGCCAGGTGATCATAGGACCTTGTCCTTAGTTTTGCAACTTTTAGTCTTTGATCCTTAAATGGATTTTAACTACTTGAAATCAGGAAAAAGGATTACCATCAGCCCAGAATATTTTTATAGTGTCTGGTAAATAGTTGGCAGAGAGGTTTGAGTTTGCATCTGCAGAGGTGCAGATGGAGGAAGAGGTAGGGAACTCTATTACTGCTCTGGCCTGCTCCGTGTGTGTGTGTGTGTGTGTGTGTGTGTGTGTGTGTGTGTGTGAGCGCGCATGTATGCGGCTGGTGGGTAGCTGATAGCAGCAACTCTTTGTGGGAGGAGGTCATTAATGTGGGATACCACTGTGCCCCTTCTGTCCCTTTGTGCTTGTCTTTCTTTACTTTGCTCCCAGGCCTCCCTGGGCTACAGTCCTCACTGCATGAGTTTCAAGGGAGAGGGAGTGAGGTTTTGCTTTCTCTTAAGAAGGCCAGCTTCCTGCCAGGAGGACCTGGTTCCAGGCTGGGCTCCTCCTCCCTACTGCAACTTCCTTAGTTACCCCAGCTACTCTGCATGCTGCAAATCTTCTGTTCCCATCATTCTCTTCCCAGTTCCAAGTTCTCCACTAGCTGCAAGTTTCAGCATTTTGATGGACAAAAACCTCAAGGATAATACTTAATTTGTCTCAAGATATCTATTGCAGAGGTAGAGGGACCCTGGGGACTGCAGGCAGGAAAGAGGAGATGCTGCATCTGAGATAAGGCTGTTGGGAACCATTCTTGAAATGAAGGACCAGGGACGGCTACACCACTGACCTCCAGCAAGGCTCCTGCTGGGTGAGGCAGCCCTTAGAGGGCACTAGACCACTGTAAGACTAACTGAGAAAATGGGTGCCAGCCAACGTCCAGCAAGGGCAGGAGGAAGGGTAGGTCAGCATAGCTCTCACATTGGGCATAAAATTGAAAGCCAAAAATCTCAGTACTCAGGGTAATTCAGATTTTAATGGAACACTTGGAAAAATCCAAATAAATATCAAAAAATCCATGATGAATGCAGCACCAACAGTTGAGACAAAATAGATTTTTGTTGTTGTTGTTATGACAGTAAGCTCTTATGCAACAGAGAAAGTGACTTCTATTCAGGTTAAGGTTCCTGGGTATCTTGACTGTCCCCTGCTATGCAGGTTTATATGGATTAGCAGTGAGGTATAAGCAGAAGGGGGAATACAGAGTTTAAATACAGTCATGTTTTGTGATTATGGAATGTTTACTGATCCTTCCCACTTGATTCAGAATATGTGAGGGTAACTTGATAAGTGTACAGAGGAGCTCACATTTCACCTCTTGCGGAATTACTCTCAATCCTTGATTCCTTGTCTAACTTGCAAAAAGGTACATGGAAGTGGATAGCATCCTCCAGTAGGGACAAAACTCCAGAGCCTCCCTGCAGGGACCTCTGCTGCTGTTAAACATTTGAGAAGTGCCCGATCGTGGCAGTCAGCAAGCCTAGGAAATTGTGAAAGCACTTACAGGTAGGTTAGTTCTTGATACTGTAAGTCAGAAACGTGTCTCATTATTTGATTTTAAATCCCTTACTACATCTGTGAAGAAAAAGTCTCCTTTGGAAAAATCACCCAAGAAATCAGAAGAGAACAGAAACACTAAAGTTCTCCTCCAAAAAAAACCCTTTTGATTAAAATCCAGGTGTTCTGCACCATGAAAGTGAAGTAGTGTGTTACTCTGTGTACAACTTTCACATTTAATAGACCATCCATTCCCCGCAGCTGTCCTTCCAGAATATCAAATCAGTGTGTGTGAGTGTGAATGTCAGTTGAGTGTGTGAGCTCAGGTTGGTGGGGCCTCCATGCCTAAGAACCTTGGGGAACCTCTGATTTGGCATGGGTTTTAAAGAAAAAGGACTAAACCTCCTTAACTCTAAAGGACTCCCAACCCTTTCCCTGTCTCTTCCTTTCCTGCCTCTTCTGGAGATGACCACTTCGATGACTGCTCTGAGGGGTGGCAGCTCCAAGCTGAAAAGCAGACCTCTTGCCCTTCCGGGGTCCTGAGAGGAAGACGAGCTCAAGGATCCCTGGGAGGGAGGAAGGAAGATCTCCAGAGATGCTCACCGATGTCCCCCAACAGGCTTTTGTCTTCAGAGAGGGATTGCCTCAGAGACGTCAGGCACTTGAGCTGTGACAAAGCGTCAGATACCTCAGGAGAAAGCCAAGCCTTAGCCTCAGGTTCCCTACGCAGCCCTTTCTGTGCCACCTCACTCTATCAAGCTCCTCTCTCCCTCTCAGTCCCAGCACAGCCCCTGAGAGACCAGCTCGGGGCCGGGAGGCCAGGTGAGCGCTGCACCGGACCCTGGCGCATCCCCAGCGCGGAGCACGGAGCGCGGCCGGGCCGGGCCGGGGCTGTGCGCGCGGAGCCGTCTAGCACCCCGAGGCGGGCGCACGCCCCCCGCCCGCCCCGGCCGCCTGCTCCCGCCCTGTTAGCGCCACTGCGGCTCGGCGGGAGCGTCACGTGGCTGGCGCGACGCGGCCTTCGGGCTCCGGGCGCGGGCGAGAGCCGGGCGGGAGGCCGACAGACTTGTCGACGCACCGCCGGCGGCTCCGGCCCGGAGGGCTGCGCGTAGCGGCCGGAGGGCGGCGGGGCCGGACAGCTGCGCGGCGGGGCATGGGCGCGCCCGGGAGCCCCCGGCTCGGGCCGGCCTCGGCGCGGCACCCGGGCCTCGGGGGCAGCGGCGCGCGGGGGTGCTCCCTGGCGGCCGCCGCCGAGCCCCCGCGGGGCCCGTGACGCCGCGGCCGATGTGGCCCCGCGCTCTGCGGGCCTGCACAGCCGCCGCGCCGCACAAAGACCTCGCGGGAGCTGCCGCCGCGCGCGCGCCGGCCGGAGCCGAAGCCGGTGCCCCAGGCCGAGCCTGAGCACGGGAGGCGGCGTCCGCGCGGTGGCCCCGGCATGGAGAAGCGGGCGTCTGCCGGGCCGGAGGGGACCCCGGGCACCCGGGCGCAGCTCGCCGTCGTCTGCCTGGGTGAGTGGGCCGCGCTGGCGGGCGGGTCGGGCTCTCCCTCCTCGGTCTGCCTCTCGCTCCTCGGAGGCCCGGCCTCCCAAAGCCCGCACCGCGGTGGCTGCCGCGGGAGGCTGCAGGGAACGCGGGTCCGTGGCACCTCCCGCCCGCTAGGGCCTTTGCTTTGGGAGGGCGACTCCTGCGGCTGGCGCCCGGGAAGAGCGGCGCGCAGGCTGCCGAATCGCAGAGGAGGCTGGGGTCCGCCGGCGACTAGGTTGGCGGGGGCGGCTTCTAGTCCCTGCCGCCGGCCTGCGCGCAGCGTGGGGATCGGGGCCTTGGGAGCTGGAGACAAAGGCCCGGCCTACTGCCCTTTAAAGAAGGAACCATTTCCTGCCTGGATTTGGGGCTGGGGCTGTGAAGAAAGATGGGGAGGAGGCAGAAGCGAAAATGATTCCCTTTCCCTTTATGTCTTCTCAGACCCAGCGGGTGGGCCTGCTGAGCACCAGGCAGTGTGTTTGGGGAGGGCCTGTCCAGGCCGGCACCTGGGCAGGAGGGCTCCTTCCTTGCCCAGCAGTTGTTCTGTCCACTTTTCCACGGCCTGCGTGGGGACGAGGGGAAGGAACGAGTTAAATCCTCAACCCACATGGCTTCTTTATTTACCTTGTTGGAGGAGGGAGGCTCTTAGAAGAGCTGGGGGTCACTAGGGGACAACCTGTGATGTCACCGTTGAGGGTTCTGAAACCTCATAGGTTTGCTGAAGCCAGTAAAATGACTGAGTGAAAAAGAACCACATTCTTTTAAGCTTTGCCTTCCTCGGCCCCCTAGGAAGCAGGGAGCTCAGAGGCTGGGGAAGGTTCTTGTCCCAGCAGTGCAAGAGCTGATCCAAATAACAGATGTACCCCCACAGTGCCACCCTCCAGTCTGGTGGTTCATGGGCTCTGGGTTCTGAGCTACTGTGTTCCTGGGGAGCAAGGCAGACAGACCACCTCGGTGCTCAGGAGGTGCTCAAGAGAACCTGAGCGGTGTGGTTCTGCCCTGTAGAGTCCTGGTGTGCTGACTGAGGGCAGTGGCCCCCTTCTTCTCCAGGAGGGAAATGACACTTCCAAAGAGGCTCCTTTGGCATCCTTGATAAGGGAAGAAAGGTACACTGACTCCCAGGAAGTCATTTGCCCTCCTCCTTGTCTACATTCTCTTTTTGGGCCTGGATCCCTAAACAGAGTTGTAGATGGAAGCAAAAGACCCCACAGCAGGGTGTAGAGACACATACCTATAATCCCAGCACTCTGGAAAACTGAGGCAGGAGAGACTGCAATTTCTAGACCAGCTTGGACAACTTAGTGACTTAGTAAGGCCTCATCTCAAAATACTAAAAAAAACAATGTTGAGGAGGTAACTTAGTGCAGAGGTCATGAGTTCAATCTCTAGTACCAGAGAACAAAGGTGTTGGGTATAAACAGAACGTGTTCCTCTCCCTCCCTGGCTGTTGGGGGGACTAGGTGAGTGGCAAAATCTCTTGGAAGGAGGAAGCTCTTCAGAGTGACGGGAGCCTTCTTGACAGGCAGGACTTCACCTGGGCTGAGCCAGGGCCCATCCAAGATGGGTGGCTCCAAGACTGATGGGAAACTCCTGCACTCCAGGGCAGGGGGTGATACAATGTGGTACGATAGGTGTGTCCAGGTGGGTTCTAAGACCCTCTGGAATCCACATCTCTGTCTCCTATAGGCAGAAGGACCAGTGATGGGAGGGAAAGTCTGGTACTCTCTGAGTCTCAACTTTGTTGTGCTGTGCCCTGGCCCCACAAGGCTGTCCCTGGGACCTGACCCTGAGAGCCCATCCCTCCCCTCCACTGACTCACTCTGTGTCTCCCACAGTGAATCTCTTTCTCACGGGGAGGCTCAGCAGCGCAGTTCCTGCCTTTGGTAAGTAAACCCCTTCCTCCTTTCCTCCCAGCCCTTCTGGGTTAGTGACCTCTGAGGACTCAGGGTCTGGCTCTACCCTCTAGTCACCTGCCCTCTTGTTGGGAAAACCAGTTCTTGTGTATCTTTTCTGCATCATGAAAGAGTTATTTGGCTTTAGACAAGCTTCAGCTTCCTGAGCCTCAGTTTTCTCTTCTGTAAAATGGCTAACACATCAGGCTGTACAGTGAACCAATGAAGTAAGATGCTTAGCGTGACACCTGGCATGTGATGGTTTAATACCCCTGGCAAACTACTAGGCCCTGCACAATTGCCAGACTGTGTCTCCTGTACACCGTGGGGTTCCTGAGAACCATGGGATGCACACCTGTGTTTCAGTGTTGCCTGGGATTTAATTTACAGAGTGATAGCATGAAGAGGATAACACCACTGAGAGAAGAATTTGTAAAAGGACATATCATGCCCTACAGGCCATGGAGGAATTACTAAGTTTAGCTAGGCAGGAGCAGGGGCGAGGGAAAGGTAGGGGCCAGAACTTTTACTGGGGTGTCCATAGGAAAGTCAAGGCAGAGCAGAATGGGTCTGAGTGCTATAGGGTGGGCTCTAGCTGTCTGGTACCCACGCCTGGGATGCTCAGAAGGGGTGGCGAAGATCATTGGCTTGGTGTATGAACATCATACAGAAGGTCAGAAGGGCACAGCCTTAAATTGGCGCTTTGCACGTAAAAGGTGAGTTCTGGGAGAGCAAGTTTGCAGGACAGAGGTATAGCTTTGGCTGGTGGGACACTCAGTATGTTATAAAGCACAATAAGGACTCCATGCCAGCCTCCTTGTCAGCACGGGCTGCTTGTCACACTGGGCTGGCCATCTGATGGCTATCTTTGGGCTTTGATCTGATGCACAGCAAAAGTTATCAGGAGTGGGAGAGATGGCCAAGGAGATCAATCTCTTGCTACTGTGGGCTGCTGGGGGTTGGAGAATGCACAGGTCCAGGCTCATTGCCACCAAAAGCATTCTGAGAAGGGACACTAGGAGATCTTGTTTTATGATTGATTCACCTTGATAAACCCACCTTCTCTTGCTCATGCAATCTGTATACACAGCTGTCTTTGGCAAACTCTAAAAAGGTATTCAAGTACCTTTGGGCTTGTTTTTTGTGTGCTATACTGCATGGTGGGGCAGGAGTCACCTGGGGATTCTAGTTCTGCTCAGGGACCAACAAGTGTAGGACCAGAGGTTGTATCATAGGGACCATGTTTGCCTGTGTGTGTGTGTGTGTGTGTGTGTGTGTGTGTGTGTGTGAAAGAGGATGGAGCTCAGGGTCCATCCTTGCTAACCTTCTTGTTAACCTTAAAGCCTTGGCTTCTGTCCCCCTCTTGATTGTCTCTGTGCCCAAGCAACATACTGTGTGCAGCCAGACCTTCTCTGCTGACCTGGGCTGGCCCAGGGCCCTGCCTGATGGCCCAGCCACAGAGGACAGTGCAATTTCCCATCTCAGTTTCCAGGAAGTGACTGGCCCAGCCTGGGTTGGTTTCTGTGAGAGAAGAGGGAGAGAGGGGGCTACAGCTTACAGAGGTGAGCCCAAGCTGGCCCTCCGGCTGAGATGGTGGGTGGACACCTTGCCCTGAACATGTGTGTGACATGCATGTACCCCAGGTATAGAAAAGTGATAGTTCAGGGACAAGGTCAGTCATGTATCCTGGGAGAGAGAAGGATACCCATCCAGATCCTCGTGTATGGCTGTTCTTAGCTGTCAAGATGTCAAGGCCTGGCAGGGTCCATGATGCCCAACTCTAGAAGCTGCCTGCTGTTGTCACATTTGTTTGTGCACAGTGCCCTTGGTGTCCTGTGCTGCTTGCACAGCTTGGATTGTGATGGATGGTATTGTGGGGCCCTGGGGCTCTGGAGTTCAACTTCGATCCCTCCAGAATTGCTGACCAGCTTCTGGCTTCAGGAGGCACCTCCTCCCACCATGGCTCCATGACTCTGCCTTTCCAGGGCCTTTTCTGCGATTCCTCCTGTAAAAGCCTGAATGAGGAACTGTTCCCTCAGCCTCTTCTCCCTGGGTCACCTGGAGATCTCACAGGTTTTTGCCTCTCGGCTCTTGCTCTGCTCCAGAATGTCAGGCACCACCTCCCCTGGCCTTCAGGGAGGCTCAGAGGTGTGAGCGGCCAGGATTTGTGCTGTCCTCTCCACACTGCCAACAATTTCCCTGAGGGCCCAGTGGGATTCCTGAGTCTCTGTCCTCAGGTTACACCAGGCAGGTTGTCCAAATTATCGATCGCCTCTGAAAACTGGATCTGCAAATTGTGCTTCCTCAGGCCTTGCTCTTGTCTTCTCAGGAGTATCTGACGACTCTTTGGACCAGGAAAGGAGAACAATGCCTGTAAAAGTGCCCAGTCATCTCTTTCCCACCACTGAAGATCAAGACTTCTGCCATCATGAAAGCAGGTCCCCTCCAACTGATGCTCAGAGACCTCTCTGATTGCCCCTAAGTCCCCCCAAATCCCACTTTTGCATGACTCTCACCCAAAGCACAGTTTCCCACAAATCCCTCTTCTGCATCAGAGACTCCCTAAACACAGTCCCTCTCCTGCATCGATCCCTCTCCTGTATCGGTACCCCTCAAACACACAGTTCTTCCATCTCTCCTCTGCTCACCCCTCCTTTCGTGTCCTATCACCCCGTCTCCTACGGGAGTTCCTGGAGAGTCCCCTGATCCCCTACTCCCTCAACACCTTGAGATCATGGCCTTCCTGAGATCTCTCAGTCATTCCTCTGATACATACACCAGGCACACTGGCTTCACTTTATGGGTGGACAAGGCATAGGGCAGAATGGGGTGCCTGGCATTGTGGGTCCAGGATTCGAGCCTTGTCCCTGTCTGGGCCTGGGTTCCAGAGCGGAACACTGGCTTGGGGTTAAGGCTCCTGTCCCAGAGAGAGGGGGGCTGACTGGCTGAGCTGGAGCCATCTTCCAGGCCCGTGGTCAAGTGGCAGCCAGTCAGCCCAGGACGCAGCTCCCAGCTCCTCGCCCTGCCTCCTGCTCCACTTTCCCTGTGGGTGAGTGAGGCTGGGCCAGCACTATACAATCTCTAGTCTCTACAGAGCTGGTCTCCTGGTTCCATTTGGAAAACAGCAAACATTTAACTGAGGGCTGGTGCCCTTGATTCCCACCTGATGTGTGTTAGGGGAACTCAGTGCTTTATCTGTGTAGAGGCACAGCTTGGCTGTCAGTGGTGCAAGCATCTGGAGTGACAAGCCTCCACTTCCTGAACAGGTGATTAGACAGAGAGGCAGGAGGGAGAGGTCTTCTGGCTGGGCAGTGGGTTGGAAGAGCAAAGTAGCCAGAGATACCTGAGGGGAAGGCCTGCGGCCAGTGTGGGTCAGATATCTGACCTTTGCCACTGCCCAGACAAGATGGACAGGGTTGGGTCCATCCTCTAGGGAAAGTCTGTCCTTGGGGCTGAGGGCACCGATGACCCAAAGCTGGTCCCTACCCTTACTGACTCAGTGCCCTGACTGTGGCCCAGTACTTGGTTTAGCACATGCTTTAGAGACTCGTTGTGTGCCCAGCTCTGATATGATATGCCCCATCCTCAGTGGCCCTTCCTTCCTGAGACCCTTTTGTCCAGCACTCTCAGGAAGGAGAAATCTCCCCGAGAATCCCAGGTCAGCAGGGGTCTCGGTGAGGTCACGCGGTTGGTGGCCTCACCCGCCAGCAGGAGCCAGGCTGGAGCTGGGGCCATGTTCACGTTTGGGTTGGAGCTTGCTCTGCCCTTTGCTGGGAGTGGAGTGCATTGCTTCCATTTTTCTGGTGATGTAACAGAGAGATGGGTGACTGCTTCCCAGGATCACCTGTGAGGCCAGGTACAGAGGTTCGGGCTTGTACCTACTCAAGCTGGGAGTGCTGAGGCTGTGACAGAGGCCTGAAGGTGGCCAGCCTTGTTGTGGGCCAAAGGTGGCATTTCTGGTCTAACTCTGATATTCTTGAGAGCTGTCAGTGTGGGTGACCAATTAGTAGTTAACAGCATTGGATAAAGACCCCAAGGTCATGGCTGGCCCCTAAGAGGGGACACCTGGACAGATGCTGCAGTGAGCCATCCTCATGGGCACCAGCCATAGGTCAGACAATGTGCAGGCGGCTGGGGATAGAGCGTAGGATCAGAGCATCGCAGCACTGCCTTCCTGTGGGAGCCTGTCAGCTACCAATCCCAGCACACAGAGGCTGTGAGGGATAGGTGGAGGACAGGATGGAAACTGCACTGGGGGTGCCCTGGGGAAGACTTTCCCGAGAGGGCAACTGAAGCCTGAGGGCTAAAGCTAAGCAGGAGTCAGGGTGGCACAGAAGGGCGGGGGAGCACCCACCAAAGTCTCCCCACTATGTAAGGGACGTTGGGGACTTGGAAGATGAAGAAGTTTTGGGAGGGATGAGGTAGGCACGGTGGGTAGGCACTCTGTGTGCTTGTCTTAAAAGTGTGAGTGGACAACCCAAAATGTGTAATTGTCATTGTACAAAAGAGAGGAAAAGAAAGTGCTCTGAATGATATAACTGCATGTATGTTTAAGTGTATAAGATAGAAAATGATATCACCGAGTTTTATTGGATCATTGAACAGAACTGTTTGCAGTCTCACTGTTGGAATGTCCACTTTACAAGCTTTAATTTTGTGACTTGAACAATTATTTCTAAGATGACAATATGTAATCCATTAACTAGTGATTTCCTACTGTTTACTTTTTTCTGTAAATCTGTATAACTTGTACCCCTTCTCTGCTTTTTTTTCTCCTTAAATAAAATTAAAAAAAAAAAGTATGAGTGGACGCTGGAGGGCTTTCTTCCCTTCTGCCACTGCCCTATTTGGGGTTCCATAGAGGTTTGCCAACAGCCAGAGAAATTCAGCTTCTGGGTCTAAAGGGCAAAGTGTCTCCTGTGGAAGAGGAGGAAGTAATGTCACTGGGCATGGGGAAAAGGATCATCACCTTTCTCCCTGTGCCTCAGTTTCTTCATCTGTAAAATGGGCCCTGTCTTTGCCATGGGCCAGGTCAGATAAACCAGAGCATTGCAGAAAAGTACAAGGGCCACTGCCTGGCCCTGGGAACATCAGGGCAGCCCCTTCAAGTGGGGTGGACTCAGCTGGGAAGCCAGTGGTTTGGAGGGGCTCCTTGCCTGCTCTGGCTGATGGAATGCTCTGTGCTCATCACCACCACATCATGCAGTCGCCACTCCACAAATGCTTGTTGATGTAGGGCTGGCTGTGAGAGACTGAGCCCACCAGAGGGCCAGAGAGAATTCTGATTCTGCTACCCACTGACTGTGTGGTCCTAGGCAAGACATTTCCCTTCTCTGAGCCTCAGTTTCTTCTTCTGGTTCCAATAGCCATCTCCAGTGGTGTCCCACATACACTCAGGAAAAAACCCCAGTTCCACATGGAGTGTCTCAGAATTGGCTTGCACTTCTGGACATTGCCGCCTCCCTCAAGGCCTGTTTCCTAACCTTCACTTCTTCAGGGGTTCCACATTAAGTCTCTCTCTACCCGTAGGCTCCACAGGCAGGGCTTTCACTGGACTTACTCATCCTGCCTATTACTTTTGCTTGGTGCGTAGTAGGTGCTCAGTAAATATGATTTGGGTCACAAAGCCCCTGTCCTCCTGGGGCTGAGATCTGCATTTGGCAAGCCCCAGGAAAGCCAGGCAGGAACCATAGTGAGATGGCCTAGGTAGGCTTAGTAGGCCTAGGGTGCAGAAGGCCCTGAGGCCATGGTGGTATACTGCGGAGGTGCTGGTCACTAATGGGAATTGATGATGGCTTATTCTTAGTGCCCTTAGTGGAGGGGGCACATTGCATGGCCTGGGGACTACACTGCCCTGGGTTCAAGTGAATTCCCTGACATTCCTGTGTACGGCACTTCCATGAAATCTTTTGCCCCTGTCATGGACGCCCTTGGCTGGACTTGATCTCCATGGGGAAAGCCTGTGGTTAAGCCATGGGGTCAAGCAGTACCCCTTAATTTGCTTTTCACCTAAAGGTGGGAATGTGCATTTCTCAGCCTCCTCTCTTGACAGCGGCCTGCAGTGGGAAGCTGGAGCAGCACACAGAACGGCGTGGTGTCATCTACAGCCCAGCCTGGCCCCTAAACTACCCACCAGGCACCAACTGCAGCTGGTACATCCAGGGAGACCGCGGGGACATGATCACCATCAGGTAAAAGGGTCTGGGGTGTCAGGGAGAATCCATGTGAGACTGCATGTGCTGAGTAAGCATGTGTGTGTATCTGATGATTGTGGAGGGCTCACGCATAGGTATGCACAGATTTGTGAGTATGTGCATGTGTGCACGAGCACGTGTATGCTTGCACAAGCCTATGCTTGAACAGCCATAAAGAGCCTATGGGTGCGCTCACATCTGTATAGGTGCAGAGGGCATGGGTGAGAGCAGATGTCTGAGGAGACATGTGACCATGTGGGAGCTAGGAACATGGGTGCATGAGTCTACCCAGCTGCCCATGTCTCTGTGGCTGGGCGAGGGAGGAGGGGGGAGGCTGAGCTGGAGCTCTTCCTGTTCCTGGAGTCTAAGGAATGCAGCCCTGTGAACTAGCAGGCATAGCTTGGCCATGGCAGATGTCCTCTGTCCTGCAAGGGAGGCTTAAGGCCAAGTCGCATGGAGCCTATAACAGATTTCTCCCAAGGGGGCTTGGGTGGTCTCAGCAGGGACAGGAGTTAGGCTGGAGCCTCTAGCGGTAGTGCTGTGTAGAGGGAAATGGTATGAGGCAGTCAGAGGGAGCATCGGGAGGCTGGAGGCCCTTCTGGGGGTGGTCATGGGGACAGCTGGCTAGGGTTCTGTCTGCTGTAATTCTCCTAGGTGCCTATGTCCAGAAGCCTGCTAGGCCCAATTACTCCATAGCCCCAAAGGACATGGACGTGGCTTGGGGGTGTAGCTCAGTGCTAGAGTGCTTGCCTAGCAAGAGTGAGGCCCAGGGTTCTGGCCCTGGCACTGCAAAAACAAATTTAAAAACCAAAGAGTATAGATGTACCAGGCATAAGCAAGGGCTGTCCTGGGTTCTGTGCCTATAGTTTCTCCATGGCCACAGGGTTAAGGCTGTGGGACAGGGAGACCAGGGCTAGTGTTTGTAGGTGACTTCATTCAGCTGTAGCATTGGCTAGCTCTGAGGGCACAGCATCAGCTTCAGTACCATGCTTGGGAGCTTGTGCTGGTCTGTCCTAGCTGACCTAGTGTGGGAGGGATTTGGAGACTGGGCAAATGTGGCAGGGGCTCCTGACATTCCCCATTCTGACTTTGGCTTGAGGGTGCTGTGTGTACTGATGGAGGGGAAGAGAGAACTCCAGCAGAGCTAAGTGTACGGTTACTGTCCATGGATGTGCTGATTCTTCATGGTGCTGCCTTTGATTCCCTGCGAGTAGAGAAATCAGGCATCTCGGGAGACATGGGACAGGGGTGGTGGGTAAAGGCTGGGCTGGCCATCCTTGCCACAAGCTCTGGCCTGACCACCCTATGTTTGTCCTGGGTAGCCTACTCATCCCTTTCCATGGTCCTCTCTGCCCCTGCAGTTTCCGCAACTTTGATGTGGAAGAGTCCCACCAGTGCTCCCTGGACTGGCTCCTGTTGGGCCCTGCAGCCCCGCCTCGCCAGGAGGCCTTCCGGCTCTGCGGCTCTGCCATCCCACCTGCCTTCATATCTGCCCGTGACCATGTCTGGATCTTCTTCCACTCAGATGCCTCCAGCTCTGGCCAGGCCCAAGGCTTCCGCCTCTCCTACATCCGAGGTGATACTGGTTGCAGGGCAGGGGAGGGACATCACAGAGCACTCAGTGTGTGGGCTTCCAGCCAGGGTAGAACTGTTCATGGCCTCCTGCTCCCTTAGGGTCTCCCCTGACCAATCCTGTCAATCATAAGATGGGGGTGGGGCTGTCAAGCAGCACTGATCGCCTTCACAGGTTGGCTAAAAGGGGGACTCATAAGCCTATGGTCAGTCAGGTCAGAGACCGAGCATAGCTGGGCATCCCAGGAGTCTCTGCCTATTATCAGCTGGTCCTACCTTTTCCTGGGCCCGGCAGAGGCCCAGCTGAGATGCTGATCTGCCCACTCCTGGCCCCAGGTCTTGGTGCGCTGGAAGGGGAATCTTCCCTCCTTTGACTGCCTCCTGCTACCCATTTGCCCACAGGGAAACTGGGCCAAGTGTCCTGCCAGGCAGATGAGTTCCGGTGCGACAACGGCAAGTGTCTGCCGGGCCCATGGCAGTGCAACACTGTAGATGAATGTGGAGATGGCTCTGATGAAGGCAACTGCTCGGCACCCGCCTCTGAGTCACCTGGCAGCCTGTGCCCAGGGGGCACCTTCCCCTGCAGTGGGGCACGCTCCACACGCTGTCTGCCAGTGGAGCGGCGCTGTGATGGCACCCAGGACTGTGGTGATGGCTCTGACGAAGCTGGCTGCCCTGACCTGGCATGTGGCCGGCGGCTGGGCAGCTTCTATGGCTCCTTCGCTTCCCCAGACCTGTTTGGTGCAGCCCGAGGGCCCTCAGACCTTCACTGCACGTGGTTGGTAGACACGCAGGATCCGCGGCGCGTGCTGCTGCAGCTGGAGCTACGGCTGGGTTACGACGACTACGTGCAGGTGTATGAGGGCTTGGGCGAGCGTGGGGACCGCCTGCTACAGACACTGTCCTACCGCAGCAACCACCGGCCAGTGAGCCTCGAGGCCGCACAGGGCCGCCTTACCGTGGCCTACCATGCCCGTGCCCGCAGCGCGGGCCATGGCTTCAATGCCACCTACCAGGTGAAGGGCTACTGCCTTCCATGGGAGCAGCCATGTGGAAGCAGCAGGGATGGGGATAGTAGTGGCTCAGGGGACCAGGGCTGCTTCTCAGAGCCACAGCGCTGTGATGGTTGGTGGCACTGTGCCAGCGGCCGGGATGAGCAAGGCTGCCCTGCCTGCCCACCTGACCAGTACCCCTGTGAGGGGGGCAGTGGCCTATGCTACACACCTGCTGACCGTTGCAACAACCAGAAAAGCTGCCCTGATGGTGCTGATGAGAAGAACTGCTTCTCCTGCCAGCCTGGCACCTTCCACTGTGGTACCAACCTGTGCATTTTTGAGACATGGCGCTGTGATGGCCAGGAGGACTGCCAGGATGGCAGCGATGAGCACGGCTGCCTGGCCGCTGTGCCCCGCAAGGTCATCACTGCCGCACTCATCGGCAGCCTGGTGTGTGGCCTGCTGCTGGTCATTGCCCTGGGCTGTGCCTTCAAGCTCTACTCCCTGCGCACGCAGGAGTACAGGTGGGTACTACATCAGGCCCAGCACTTCTTTGAGAAAGGTCGCAGGCCCACTGTGTGTACTCAGCTGTGTGTTTGCAGGTGGAGGTGTGGGCTATCCGCTTGGGGACAGCTCTTGCGCATGTAGGTCTAGGAGTCTCTCAATGTCTGGGTAGAGAGGTGGGCCCCCCAAGTCCTATTGCTATGGCAAATCCCAGCCAACTCCGACAACCTTCCTTCTGCCTCCTGCTTTCAGGGCCTTCGAGACTCAGATGACACGCCTGGAGGCTGAGTTTGTGAGGCGGGAGGCCCCCCCATCCTACGGCCAGCTCATCGCACAGGGCCTCATCCCACCCGTGGAAGACTTCCCTGTCTACAGTGCGTCTCAGGTGAGTCCAAGAGGGTATTTTACCTCACAGACCCCAGTCTTCCTGCTGGACCTGAGACAGCACCCAAGAACAGGAGACAAGAGTGGGACTGCATGTGGGCTAGGCTGATTCAGGGATCAAAGGAGGGGCAGGTGAGGTGTGGGCAGGCTGATGCCGAGGGCAGCAGCCAGGTGGAGAGACACAAGTTAGTGTCCTGGGCATCAGGTCCCTGGGGGGTATGCTAACCTCTGCCCCGGAGTGGCCTGGCCAGTCCCTTAGCTGTGGCCCCATCCTCCAGGCCTCCGTGCTACAGAACCTTCGCACAGCCATGCGACGACAGATGAGGCGACATGCCTCCCGCAGAGGCCCCTACCGCCGCAGGCTTGGCCGTCTCTGGAACCGGCTGTTTCACCGGCCACGAGCACCTCGAGGCCAGATCCCACTGCTGACTGCTGCGCGCACCTCACAGACAGTGCTGGGTGATGGGCTTCTCCACCCTGGACCAGGGGCCACCCCAGACCTCTCAGCCCCCTGCATGGACACAGGCAGCCCCAGAGCACCTGGGGATGGGCCAACCAGTGCCCCTGGCCATGCATCAGAGGTGGGACCTTCAGTGACCTTGCCCTCAGGCCTACAAGACCCAGAGTACAGAGCTATGGACAGGGAAAGAAAAGCCTGCAGGGACCCTCTGGTGGACAGCCCGACCACTGTGGACACAGCTCCTGAGTCTTGCTTGGCCCAGGACCCCCTGCCCCAGGCTCCCACAGCCAGCAGCACCCAAGGCCCCCACTCAGCAGAGCCACTGGGGGTCTGCCGGAGCCCCCTGCCACCCTGTTCCTCAATGTTGGAGGCCAGTGACGATGAGGCCCTGTTGGTCTGCTGACCTACAGGACATGCTGGTGACTGCCACAGCCCCGCTTTAACCAGGGAATACACAGTCATTTCTACCCTGCCTCTGAGTCTTTTCTTAAGAAAGAGGCCAGTCCATGGCCCTCAGCCAGCAGTGACATCAGCATAGCACACCCCTGGGTGCACATGGCCAGTGGGGGAGGCAGGGGGCTGACTGTAGTGATGAACACGTCTTTGGATCTTGTATATACACAAGCATCCTATCCCTTGCCCCTCCCCAACTCCGACCTGGGAAGCCATTTCCAGAAAAGTGGGTGGGGATAGACAGGGCTCCATGGAGTGTTTTTTGTGGCTTCTTGCTTCATTTACCCCATGGTGGCACCAGCTGCCTTCCCTGTCCCCATCTGTGCCAGGAGCTATAGTAAGGAGGGAAAGGGGCTTGGAGAGTGTTGGTTGCTTTATCCACACTGAATCCTCCTGCTGTCCTTCCCAGCAGGGGTTGGGCTAGGAGACTTTGCCCCATCCTCCTGCCTGTGGTGGCAGCATGGGCCTGGCCAGGCTGGTGCCCTTTCCCTCTGGCTGCAGGGTCTGTCTTCTGGTCACAATGGCTGGCAATGAGGGCATGGGTTAGAGGATCCCAGGACATGCTGTTCTGTGCTTTCACAGGAGATAGAGGCCAGGGCTGCAAAAGTCAGAGGTCAAACCCATCCTATCCTGCCTTAGGGTCTCAGTTTCCCCAATGTAGACCAAGGAGAGGCTTTGGAAGTTTTGGCATTTACTCTGTGGTCATTTCAGGGAAGAATGATAATCCTAGCCAGGAATCCCCGGACTCTCCCAGGGGGCTGATGCTAGGTTGGCATGGAGAGATCTGGGTGAGGGGCAGGGTAGTTTGAGACCCTGTGGAGCCAGCAGGGTTCAAGGGGCAAAGCTGCACAATACGGAAGACCTCCTGAGCTATGGCACTTTTTCCAGCTAGTAACACATGCGCCCCCTACTGGAGTATGCCACCACCCACGCCAATCCAGCTCCACCAGGGACTCCCCTGAGCACAAGCAAACAACCAGCCCTGTTTATTCATAGGCCTTTTTCAGGAAAAGCTAGCAGGGCAGCGCTAAGACAGGAAGCCATGTCCACATTGCCAGGGCTTCCTTAGGACAGGCCTCTAAGAGTCTTATCTCTTTTTTCCAGGAAAAAAAAAAGTTTTTGCAAAACACCTCAATAAACAACATGTAAACAAAAACAGCTGCTTCGGTCTCTACAAACATCTCATTGTGACTTCAAGGGCTTGTCCATTGTGGGCAGTGGGGAGGGATGGCAGGGACCATTTTCCTCCTCTTCGGGGGAGCCCTGAGGATAAACCACGAAACACAGCTCCTGGCCCCAGCGTGTCACGGACTCTGAGGACAGACAGACAGATTGACAGACGGACAGGGGCCTTGGGGCCCGATCCCTGGGGATAGACACCCCCCTCCAGGTACCACCCCTGGGCAGGCGACTTCAGGGAGCTGCTCCCTCTGCAGGTAGGCTGCAACCACTTCTTGGGGAGACAAGGGGACATGGCCGGGTTCCACATTACCCACCCTTGCGGATGCAAGACCCTAGGTGGGCCCCCTCTTTAAGCCCTGGGCACCTCAGCAAGGCTCCCCGGCTCACCTGTGAGTCTGTGCACACACTTTGGTTTGCTTCTCCAGAACACTCCCAGGAAGAAAATGGGCACACCTGTCAGGATGATGATGATGCCAACCCCACAGACCATGGGCTCCGAGATGAAGCTGAAGACCAGCAGGAAAGCCCAAAACACCAAGTATACCACAGGGATGAGGAGGTTCACCTGAGCGAGGGTGGACGGGAGAGCAATGGTGCAGGATTCCCAGCTCTCCCGCCTTGCCCCACCCTCAAGGGTCTGAGGTGCTTCCTCCCTTTTCCAGAATTGGGGCCTGACAAGGCGCTCCCTTCCAGCTCGCTGTGCCAGAAGTTAATTCATGGATTGCCTGGTTGGCAGGACCACTGAGGGTTTGTCAGTTTCATCAGCTCTGAGCTGCACAAGGCAGTTGTATGCATACTTGCTCGGGCTTGGTTGGAGGTCAAGTATTTTTTGGTGTTCCACATTTCAGATTTCAGTCCCGGAACACTTCTCCACTTAAGGATTTATATGCAAATAGAAGTTTTTTTTTTTTTTTTCTTCTTCTTCTTTCTGGTACTGAGGGTTGAAGCCAGGGCCTTTGCACCAAGCTATATCCCAGTCCTTTTTTATTTGTCACTTAGAGACAGGGTCTTGCTAAATCATTAAATTGCTTAGGTTGGGTTCAGTTTATGGTCTGCTGATTTCATGTGTGATCTGGAATGCTGGCTGTGTCACTGGCAGCCTGTGTGACTTTGACTCTGGACTGGAAATTTTCCCTAATTCTACACAGGGACTGTTCTTATAAGACCATTGGGAGGAGGGAATATGTCATTGTATATAAAGCTCAGCACTCTGCAAAAGGTGCAATCACTGTTACTGTTGTCACCTGCTTCTGTTCCTGGTACTTGGCATAGATGAAGGGGTAGGACATGAGCCAACCTGTCTGCCCAGGGCCTCACCTTGATGGGTCTGTGGAGTGCCGGCCGCCTCCAGCGCAGCACCAGCAGGCCCAGGATGGTGACGCCGTAGCAGAGGTAGTTGATGAAGGACACGTAGTTGATGAGTGTGTATGTATCTCCCACAAGCATGATGACCGCCGTAGCCCCACACTGGGAGAGGACCTGGGGCTGACAGCTGGCCTCACACCAAGAGGTCAGGCGGGTCCCATCCATTCCCCTCTCCCCATGCATGCTGCCCATCACAGCCAAGGACCAATCTTTGCCATTACCCAGAATGTCCTACATTACTGAGTGACCCTGAGTCCGTGTTCTGCTGGCCCTCCCCTTCCCAACTTACACAGACGAGGAGGGCAGGGATAGGGGTGCAGTGTCTGACATGGATCATGGCCAACAGGCTGGGCAGGTGCCCCTCTCGGGCTCCAGAGAAGCACAGCCTGGGAGTAGGGACAAATAGATACCAATAGGGACTGTGAGCCTCCCTGCTAGCTAAATCCTGGGTCTCAGCTGGGGACCTGATGTCCTTCTTGAGTTGTCACACTGACCTGCTCCAGGCCCTAGCAGTCCTATCAGACAGTTATTCCCTTCATCTAGCCTTCCTCTTGCTTTTTTTTATCTTAGCGTTGGGATCAGACCTTTGCTACTAGCAGTTTTATCCACTCAGCATTTCTCTTCCCTTGGTCCTCAGCACAGCTTTCGCCACACCAGGGCACCTGCCTGGCTATACCCCACCACCTTTTTCCAGCCCAGTCACCTGGAAGAGGTGAACAGGTAGCCATTTATCCCTCCAAAAGTGGAAAGGGCCACGGAGACAGGCATGATCCATGAAAAGTAGCCCAGCAGCTTCTCCCCGAAGGTCTAAGTGAGCACAGAACAAAGGCTGAGGGTGAGGCTGGTGTGGAAAGCGGGCTAGGGGCTGGGGGCTGGGGGCTGGGGGCTGGGCAGGGGTCTGCACTCACCACAGCCACTGCATTGGAGGCCAGCAGTTCTTGTGGGGACATGGCTGTGAAGTAGGCCACATTGGTGAATGTGTACACAAAGGTCACCAAAGGGATAGAGATGAAGATAGCACGAGGTAGGTTCCTGGGGACAGTCAGAGGACATCAATGTCGCTCCTGGTGCAAGGGATGGGATCTGGGGAGGGACCAGGGGACCCAGCAATAGGAGCAGCTTTGAGCCTCAGTCTCCCATGCTGGCCCCCATCTAGGAGCACTGGGGCAGAAAAGTAGGGTAGTGTTGTTGCTCAGGACATAGGGACCACTGCTCCCTACCTTTCCCCCACTCCCACCTGATCACAGGTTGGCAGAAGGAAGGGCAGATGGGGGAGGAGGGAACACTGTATCCTGAAAGGAAGATCTAATTAGTGTCTACATGAAGAGAAAACTGTAGAAGGCCAAAATCAGCCTGGTAAATCCCCTAAGTGCCCATGGAGACCAGTCTGCAGGTCTATGGTCTTCCCTGGGACTTCCCATCCATTAGCTCACTAGGCTGCAATAGCTCCCTGTCCAGACCACTGGCTGAGCATCAGATGGAGTCATTGGCTTCTGCTGTAGGGACCATGTTGCATGCATATGTGTAATTTTGGGCCAAATTCAAATCTCTGGATCTATTATAGAAGGATAATGATATTCAGGCTTTCTGAGGTCCAGTAAGGGGCTCTGATGTATCTACAGCCTCCCAGACCAGGCCCAGGCTTGTACACCAGCATTCCTGTTCCTTTCCAGGGCCATTCCCATGGGGAGCAAGTGAGACCTCCTGAGGGCTAGGGTGAGTCACAGGTGACCCTTGTTTGTGCAGACAGATGCCTTCCTTCTCTCGCCAATGGGCCTGCCCCTTCCCAGTGCTTGGCTGGGTGCCCCACTCACTTTCGAGGGTCCACCAGCTCCTCAGTGACATAGTTGAGGAAGTTCCAGCCACTGAAGGCAAAGGAGCCCTGGAGGAAGGCCAGGGCCAGGTGACCCACAGAAGGTGTCATCCAGAAGGCAAAGGCACTGCTGGGTCTCAGCTCCTCAAAGTGTCCTGAGGTCCAGACATAAGGGGTTAGTACAGTCTTGCCAGCCCTGTCCACACTCCCGCCCTGGCCCTACCTTGGAAGATCTGAACAAAGCCGACGCCAATGATGATTGACAGGGCCAGCAGCTTCCCGCCTGTGAAGATGTCCTGGATGCGTGTGGCCCAGCGCACACTGGAGCTGTTGACCCATGTCAGGAGCACTGGGGAAGAAAGGGCACCTGGGGCTGAGACCCTCACTGTGGGTCCAGCGAGGTCTAGCCCAGGTGTCAAGAGAAGGACATTTCCTGTAGCAGCCTGAACGTGGGAATCCCAGGTCCTGAGACTGGCATTGTAAGGGACGGGCACCTGGGGGTGGGGTCCCACCCAACTGCCCCTGCACCCAGGGCTAACAGCAGGGTGGGGTGGGGCAGTTGGATGCTCTGGGGACAGAGGTCCAGCCAGGGGCCATCTGGGGACTCACTCAGGCAGGCCATGGAGAGCACTCGGGAGGCTGCGGCAGGGGGGATGCAGTTGGGAAACACAGGCTGTAGCACGTAGTTGGAGAAGGTCATGGAGATGACGGCCAGGCTGGTGGGGTACATGATAAGCACAGCACTCCAGAGCAGCAGAAATCTGAAAGGAGCAGGGACCAGAGTGGCACAGGCATCCCCAGCCCTCCCAGTGACCTGCCTCAGGTGTGGGGCTCTCGGTCATGTTGGGACTGGCACTCAAGGCTAGGGAGGTAGGGGTGACGCTGGGCAGGTATTAGGAAGGATGTGGAACGCCTTCCTTAATGAGCCCCTACACCCCTTGACCATGGGCTGTATCCACAGCCAGGGTGGGCTGTCCCGGACCTGTAGTTGTGGTTTCAGCCATGGCTCCCAGCAGAGCCTTGTGGCTCACGATGGTGGATTCTGAGCTACAGTTGCTCCAAAGGGAGGAAGTTGGCGTGCCCAGGGGACCTTGCAGAGGGGCCTGGCTATGGGAAGGGCATGATTTATGCCCTACGTACCAGAATCTTGACTATGCAGGGAACCCATGGGGCTGGGGGCTCAGTTCTAGTCCCAGGGAGGGCCTATCCTCGGAGTGGTTCTAGCTCCTGGCCCACCCTTGAGGATGACAGTTGTACGGGGGACACTGACTTGCAGCCAAGTTTCCTACCCCTTATTTGCATCCCGCCCCCAGTGCCTTGGCTTCTGGGATATTCTGGCTCAAAAATCTTCCTTCCTTGTGGGCATCCATGGGGTAGATGCTTGTTCTCCTCTCTCCCTCACCTTCTCCCCAAGTGTTCTCTCCAGGCCCACAGCCTGATTGTTCCGCTTCCTAGAGACCCAGCCTCTTCTCAGAGGCAAGCAGCCATGGACCCACATGCAAGGCTGCCCAGTTCAGGGCCCTTGTCCAAGCCCCTCAGAACCAACTCTGTGCACTTCAGCCTGGACCTTTCCTCTGAGCTCCAGACATTTCATCCAAGAGCTCACCAAGCACCACTCTAGATATGTTGCAGACCCCAGAAACATGAGAATCCTTACATGAGGTCTGCTCCTCCCTTTCCTAGGTGAACCTTCTATGGGGCCTCTGAAATGGGCCAGCAGGTGTCCTCCCCACCACTGCACCCACCTAACCCTTATGCCACACTGGCTGCCACATCCTGAATAGGGTTCCTGAGTG